ACAAACAAACAAACAAACAAACAAACAAACAAACAAACAAACAAACAACAACAACCAACAACAACACCAACAACAACAACAACAACAACAACAACAACAACAACCACAACCACAACCACAACAACAACCACAACCACAACACCAACAACAACAACAACAACAACAACAACAACAACAACAACAACAACACCAACGACAACAACAACAACAACAACCACACCGGCAACGACAACGAAGGAACCAACACACAACACGATATCAACAGCAACAGTACTAATAACAGTAATAATATTGAAAAGATATCATCATTCGTAATATAGAATATTCCTACTAAAACTTATTTTAACAGTTAGCAATAAATCGAGCAGTAAAAAACAAAACAAAGCAAGAAGGACCTAACTCAATACGTACACAAATAATAATGACAACACTTACAACGCTGATAGCGATAATAAGATGTATATATATATATATACTCATAGTAACAAAGCTAATGCTAACAATACTAATTAAACAAAGTAGAATAATGAGAATAACATGGCCATGTTTAATCTTGTTAATGCTGCTGACTTATACTTATAATGATGATTGTAATAACACTAACCATTACCATGACCATCATCATTCGCCTCCGCCCCGGCCGAAACGAACAGAGGCAGGGGTTCCCAGTGTCCCCTCAGAGAACCTCTTTCCCCTCCTCTTAAACCCCTCCCCCATCGAAACAGCTTTGTCAAACAACATGTCGCAGCAACGGCAATACGTCGGAGGCCCTTCCAAGCCTCGTGCTTCTGCGTGTCACGCTCCTTGTCCTGGATGGCAAGTGCCCAGTTGTTAGCAAACGAAAGGATCCGGCTTGGCTGGGTTTGTATACTTCTTGTTTAGGAAATCAGGTGCTGGTGGGCGTCCCTTATGATGTCTCTCCATGCATGCCGGTTTAAACAACAACCCTGTCATACCTTCGCTTCATCACGCCCTAGATTCTCACACTCAGAACCTGCTGTGAAGATCAGGTTGCTAAACTGCTCGGCTTCTGACTTAGCTTTCTAGGCTTGGTGTGGTTTACCATATACATGGGGACGAAAGAGACGATGCGGATGACGATGCTGATGAGGATGATGGTTATGATGTGGAGGAGGAGGAAGATGCATATGGCAGCGGCGAACATGAGTGTGAGCAATGATCGAATGAATGCCGCTGATGCTGTTCTTTTGCTCATGGTGATGACGGTATGATGATGCTGTGCGCCACTGCGTGCGCTGGTGTGCTTGCTCTGCTGCCGGTGGTGGTGGTGGTGGTGGTGGTGGTGGTGGTGGTGGCGGTGGCGGTGGCGGTGGCGGTGGTGGTTAGTTTCTCGCGGACCTTATCAGGGGCTAAAGTGGTCTGGGATTCTTGGTTCCCGGAAGGTTCTTTAGAGGCTTCCATAGGGGTTCTTTCAGGCGTCCCGGTGCGGCCTCCCAAGTTTGCTTCATGAAGCGCTCCATCTCTTCAATCTGATCTGTGTAGCCTCATGAGATCAGGGTCGGGGATAGGGCCCTTACTCACTATGATATTTCAGGGATCCTTGAAGGGTTCTATAGTATAAGGGTGTACAAAAGGGTTCCTTACGTTTTAAGGCTGTTATAATGGCATATTATAAGCCCGCTAAAAGACGTTTGTAGATGTTCTGTGAGGCTTGGTATATAAGGGCTTCAGATAGTGGCTGAGACTGCGAAACTTATAAGGCAACTGGGGCCCTGGGGGCCTTTGATGGTCAGAATGCTTTTCTTGGGGGTGCAGGTTTAGGGTTTAGGGTTTAGGGTTTTGCATACTATATTTTAGTTATGAGAAGGAACGCCAAGGAATAATATCTATAATCATGCAGGCGCCTAAATCACACACGGGTTCCGACCCCAAGAGGACCACGAAACATCTGCACGCATTTGCGCAAGATGGACAACAAGACGACTCTCTGGTCTGCCCCAACGTGGTGAAGAACTGCCGCTCCGAATCCAGTCAGCTACGAACCTTGATGAAGAAGCCGGGAAATCGGAAAACAACTCTGAGGAACTATCATAACGAAAACCCCCAACAAACCTCAACCCTGAACCCTAAACCCTAAAGGCCCACTAACAAAGCCCAGCTTTCTCAGCCCGAGCTGACTCTAAGTGCGGGGCGAGAGGTGTCGATATGAATCTTTGCCTCGCCCACAAAGAGGGGACCCTAAGCCTAAGCCCTAATCCCTAGTGTTTTGAGGGCTTCCGATTTGGGTCTTGGGCATGGCTTTGAGATTCGAGGGGTGGTTTAGGAGCCAGGGAGGTGCGAAGATAAGACATGTAATTCTTTCACGGATGGGCCGGGCTGGTGTCTCTGAGAGGGAGGGAGGGGAACGGAGAAACGGACAGGCAATCCGTCAGTCAATCAGTCAGTCAGTACATGTCACACACACAGATAGACAGATATGCATATGTATATATATATATAT